TTATTTTTACGTACAATATTTTATAAGTTACACATTTTATGTAAGACATTTAATATAAGAATTAACTCTTTCATTGAGAATGTCGTTAATTTTTTAATTCAGAATATTAATTATTTTAGCTCAGATTTTTTTATGTTTCAATGCTAAACTTGTAATTGAAATTATTATAAAAATGTTGAAGCGGCGGAACATATATAGGGTGTCTCTAGAGAGAGACACATTAGATATTCTTAATCAGCCGTTGAATCATGAGTAGCTAGTTACGCGCTCGCCATTCATTTTACTTTAACGAACTGGTGGTGCGTTAGACACCTCCAGTGGAGCGTTTGACACTTCATTCACAAGCGAGGCGAGCGGACGCGGACGATCAAGCGCGTCTACAAAGTGGCCATTGGACAAGCGCACGCGGTTCGTTAAATCGAGACTCGGTCGGGATGATTGCGGCGCCTTAGCTGCGAGACACCACGAAAATGTAGCGTATTGTTGCCCAACTATTTCGAGAGCTCGTGTGATCTCACGCGCAACAGCTGCGCTATCTATCACCAACAATGATTCAGTGATCGTACAACACCGCTCTCGCTGCTCCGTTTATAGAGCATAAACCGAGGAAAGACGATTGAGAAAGAGGGAGCGAATGGGAAAGAGAGGAAGAAAGAGACAGAGAACAGTAGAGTCTGGCTCGTGCCAGGCCTGTGATCTTCAAAGTATAGGCAAACCTTTTATCCTTCGCGAGAGCAACCTGCCGTCGTCGTCGCGACGTTACGTTCTCGGTGTCGTTTAAAGGGTCGTATCCGGATCCAATTTCATAGCCGACGATATTCCGCATCATCTCCCCTATCCCCCCGCGCGTACCCAATGAGAGGAGATTTTCCATTTTTCTCCATGCGATATTCCTTTTCGCGTCTCGGCCTCTTTTTCAGTCTTTTGAATTACGTTTCATTATACGCGTACGCCTTCTGTTTCAACACAACGTTGTAATGTTTCTCGGTCCTGTGAAAAAAAAATTGCGCTTTTTTTTGCCAGAGTTTCGGTCCCATAGACGATGTGGTTTCATTCGTGAAACGATACGAAGTTGTAAATCGGCGCGAAACATTTCCGTATGAGCGCGAAACGGAAATTAATGTAATGGCGAACGAGTGCCGGTAATGGCAGAATGTTTTTGAACCGTATACGGACAACACGTGTGTGTAGATTGAAGCGAGATATTTCGTTGAGAGATTGGATGCAGCGTGCCTATGGGGTAGTTTAATTTATACTGCGCGACCGTTTCGCGAGCCGGTGGCGGATAGTTACAAATTCCGCGAAACGTCACGCGTGCCATTTTGCGCGCTCTCGTTTTACGCACGTTTTATCGTACTTCCTCGGAATTACATTTACGATGTTGTACATACGTACTTGTGTTTTCTCTCTCGGCAAAAATGTTTCGATAACTTTGATAATCTAAACGAGTAATAATAGATTTATGCGTCACGGATGTAGTAATTTTTGCATAAAATGCACTTCTCGAGAAATATTTACATTCGATGCACATTTTCTTTCTTGATTTGATGATATTGCCTACCGTGGAAAAATTACGAGTATTAGGAATGTCACGTATAACTAATAAAAATTGTATTTATGATTTTTGGAATTCACGAGCTTGATATTGATCGCTTCCATTTCGATCTGGCCGAATGTAATGGTTGAAACGTGGATGCACTTATACATAATTCTGTAAGAGGCACATGGTCTCATCTCTCGATCAAACGCCACCAGTTAGTCGACTCTACGACATTTCTACGATCGTAAACAGATGAACGATGCTCCTCGACGACGATATAACGCGTATATGCGCGAGAAGCAATCTGCAATTCGTGATGCAATGAAAGCTACTGAGAAATACTTCGGGAATTTTAATCCTTTGATCCATTCGACTTTTAATAGATTCTCAATGAAACGAGATTCCCGTGAAATACGCGCGAAAGCCGTTTAACTATTGTCAGTCCTAGAGAAAGAGACGCTTCGCATTGTTCGGGATACATTCGTGAAACTTGCAATAACTTATTCGTTATCTCTAATCCAAAGTCAGCGTTATCTGTCTTGGCGAAACAAGTACAACTAAGGAAAATAAAAAGCACGATGATTTTATTTCCTCCGTGGCGGCCATTTCTTTCGTCAGCCCTCCTCTCGAAACCCTCCCTTACTTCGGACCGCGCGATCGAGTCCAGAGTCAGGATCGCGAGCTCGCTACGAGTTTCGAATCTCTTTTTCGCAAGGGTTGAAATACCGTCGGTTCGAGGCGTTTCCTCTTATCGAGTGGAACGGAACCCCGTGTGCCAGGAAAGAAAATGTAAATCAGGCCTTGGGGTTAGGGAAGGACGGGCAAAGCCCCTTCGCGCCCCCGGGAGGAACCAGGAGCTACGGTGGAATGGGGGGATGAAGTCGATCGACGCCCGGGAGAGTCTGTGTATGTGTCTGCCTTTTATATGCGTCCTCGACCGTGTGCGAGCGTCGGTCCGTCGATGCAAATGCAACTCTCGTCGGGGGTTGGTTGTTTCGTCGCCCGGTGATATATCGCCTCTCTTGCGCACAAAACGCTTTCTCTCTCTTTCTCTCCCTTTCTTTCTCTTTCTCTCTCTCTCTCTCTCTCTTCTTCATCCCCGTCTGTACTTCAGAGCGGGAAAACTCGACGTATTTTCGAGCCCTGGGGGCCGACACTGCCGGGTCTCCGCTCCGGAGTCGTCTATTTTTTTTGCCCTTTTTCCCTTTTTATATACGTCCCTCTGCTGGAAGCAGGCTTTAGGCGGAGCCGGACCAACGTCGCTTCTGTATTAGTTTTTACGAGGATAATACACAACGCTTAAAGGCATAAGGGATTAAGCGGGTCGACCAACTGACCACCAACCCTTTCGCGTGTACGCGATATTATACGAGCGACGTGTAACATGTAGATTACTGACGGTGGATGAATGAATTTCATTGATGTTGAATGAATTCTCTTAGAAGTGACATAAATTTACATGTTATGTCTTAGATAAAATCGATAAAAAATTGAGCTAAAATCACAATTATAGCGATTAAAAATATTTCTTTCGATCTCCTTATATTCTGCTGTGTATATATTCTGCTGTGTTTATTATTACACGGAAAAAAAATCAAATCTGGAACAAGAAAATTTAATTTCAAACCATGAATAATAATCTCGCAATATAATACAATTTCATTAATTATACGATTTTCACGATAGTTTTTTGTGTATATAATGTATTTGTGCGTAAAATGCATCCTTAAGTTTCCACCTGCAACGTTAATATCGACAGTATCGAAAAATCATTCATATCCATTCATATCCATTCACATATATATGTATCATTCATACATTTCATTCAAAAGAGTGAATGCTTATGAATGAAGTCATTCATACTTTCATTCATATGTATACGTAAGTAACAAACTGTGGCGACCTCTGTCGGATAATTTCAGAAGATTTATCTCTCTTGTCTCATTGCTTACATGTCATCTTGCGTTGTTTCCTAACCTCTCTAACACTCATTTTCGTCGTTGAATATTTTCGAGCCAGACACATTGTTGAGTTTATATATCATATTTATATATAACTGTTGGATTTGAGATAAATTGGTATTTTTCTAAAAGATTTAATATATATTTTTAAAATAATACTCTCAGAAGAAAAAGGAAAAAGAAAAGAATTGAACTAACCATATCTTTGGAGAGTGTTTCAAGACAAGAGATCTAGGAACGAAAAGTGAATTGAAAAATACAGGATGAAGGATATCTCTTCGTAATTCCTAAGAATTAGGAATTAGGATTAACTTATTAAAATGGCAAGATACATATTAGATCCTGTGATGACAGATCCTGGATTCAGATTCGTACAATAGAATTAAATTATACATTAGAATTGATCAATTTATAGTAAACTTACATGGTTCTCATATACAAGACCATTTTTATATTTATACGGAGTATATCATTCTTTTCAGAGATTTGATAGGCAAAGATGGAGTTATCTTTGAAAGGAGGACTATCAGAATAATGACGATGATGAGTTTTCATTTCCCCCATTTGTACAATTCAGTATCGAGGAGATATCAAATATGTTAAACATGAATGATTTTGAAGATGAAGATGATGAGAAAGGATCTCTTTGTCCCTGTACCTCTTTATAGTATGAGCTTTGCAAAGTTAGAAGCGAAGATGACAAGTTTGATCACAGATCAAAAAGTAAATAATCAGATTTTATACTATTTAAGTTATACATTATTTCTTTATAAAAGCGATATAATAGAGATGATATATAATATTTTTGATGCATTGAAATGAAAATACATCAATAAAATTAAATAAGATTTGCAAAAATATTTATACTTTATCGATATGTAAAAATCAAAGTGATTGATAGCGTAACCTTTTTGCATGTTTCATCTAAAATAATTTTAATTATGAAATTATGTTATATTAGGTAATGAAATTTGTTAAGCAAAAAGGAGAAATTGTTCCTGCTAATTATTCATTATATTGGATATTTTGAAGACAGAGTATCTTCTGATTCGAAGCCAAGAATGCTGCATTTAGATCAAGGATGTATTATACCTGAGATTGGCATATGTATTATGCAGAAGCATGAAATAGCAATATTTTTGATACATCTTTTGGCTCCTGATAAAGCTTTTGGCTGTTCACCATGTATCCCATCCAATGAGGAAGTAGTATTTGTTGTTCATTTAATTGACTACTTTGATGACAGTTCTGCAGATACTTATCAAAATCATAAAATAGAAGAGAAGCAGTTATTTAAGCCATTATATAGTAGAGCCATATTACATATATTTGTGGCTGTTAAGGATAGTTGTAGTACAAAATTTAATTTCAATCGAGCAATAGAGTAAATAACATTATATTACGAGATTTATGTGCACATATAATATGGACATATCTGTATAATATATTGTTTTTGTAGATATAAAAAAATTATTAATTGCTTAGGAAATGTACAATTAAAAGATAGTTTTGAAGAAAAAGAACTGAATGTATTACTTTCAAAGGATTCTTGGAATGTTATAACAAAATAGAGTAACTTCATCATATCTATATAGTCTGCAAACGAGTACCGACAGCTAAAAGGTTATTACAGGTATGCGAATATGCTAATAATGCAATATTTATAAATTAATCGTACATTAAACTAATATCATGATTTAAATCATTTTTTTTCTAATATCAATTTTGCTTATTGATATTTTAATTAATTTACGATAATTTAAATTGTATATATCGCTAAATGCATTTGAATTAAAATAATTTGAGTATAAATAAAACATTGCAGTTAAGCATCGCATAAAACATTTTGAGTTGAGCATCGCATTAAAATGTGTGGCGAGTCTCAAAATCGCTCGAATGCCGCTGCCGTTTCAAGCATCACGAGAAGATACGATATGTAACGTAGAATTCGACGGGGGAACGATACCCTCGGAAGAAATAAGCGCGACATAAGGTACCGGAAGGGCGATCGTACTCTGGCAAAAGCCGCGGTCGCTTAGCGCGGCCGCTTTGGGAGAAAGCATCATAAATAACGCCCGAACTTCGGATCTACTCTCGTTCCCACCGCCCTCGCCACCCCGTCTCCCATCCCGCAGTTCTTCTCTTCGTTTTTCTCTTTTTCTCGTCTCGCCTGTGTTTCAGTTCACGGATATCACCGCGGCTCCTCATCCCGCGGTGTTTCGGCTGCGCGCGCGCGCGCGCGCTCGCATTTCGATCTCTCCCGGCAGGGCTTCGCGAAATATGAGTAAAAACTACGAATAAGAGGGTTGCCGCTGTGTTACATCCATAAATAACGGGACACGTGACAACCGAGCCGAGTGGCTGTCGCCGAGATACTCGTGTATTACTGTATTTTCTGGATTCGCGCGGCGTGGTGTTTTCACACGCACCGGTGGAATAAAAGGCGGCCTCGCGTTGAGCCTTGTCGCGGTTTTCCACACACACACATACACACACACACGGTAGATACCGCCAAAAATATCAGTCTTATATTTTTTCGCAACTTGCGACCGCGCGAATATATATTGTTATTTACGAACCAGTCGTGTATCGCGCGAATATTAATAAACAAATGATCCGTATACGATTTATTCGCGATACTTTTAGCAGGATAGAAAGCGAAAAACCGTAATAATTGGCAGTAACGATAAAATATTACAGATCGTATAATGTAACCCAGCGTGTAATTTTTTGTATGATATTCATGGGGCATGACGGTGCTGAAACGAGTAATGGGAAGTAACAACTGCAAATGTCATCAACTTATGTATTTTTATCGATATCATGATTTGTAATGGCCACGGATAATAACGCTGATGCGCGCGTTTTAATACGTATAAACGGCGAATTTCTCTCGACTCCCTATGGAATCTCATTTGCAAAACGATACCCGCACGTACTATGCGTTTCGGCATCAAACGAGAACGGGGGCACGAATCTCGCGGAAGTCGCGAGTTTCGAATACGCGTAACATGCAACATGCCAGACTCTCCCGCTATGCAGCGAAATAATACATGCGGTCGCTAATACATAGACGTGCCTTTGCCTTCGCCTTCGTGTCGAGGGGTAGGTTGCCGCTGACTCGCGGAGAGAAGGGGAGGAGGGTGCAACGCGCACCAGTATGCATCCTGTCTCTGCGCCTGAGTGCATACTGCAATATTTACCCTCCACAGAGCGGCAGCGCGGCTCTCCTTACTTCCAAAGTGAAACATAACCAGTATCGCGAGCGGTGAAATACTGGCGAGACTCCTTCGACCGTCCAACGTCACTCTGGATATATCCAAGATATAATATCCAACGCAAAAATATAAAATTGCAAAAGAAAGAAATGGATATTGCATCTTGAATATTACGATTAATAATCTTGATCGAGAAACGCCAAGACTTGATAGCTAATTATATAAACAGCAAAGACGCATTGTTATTAATATCACTTTTCTTTAGCAATTTCAAGTATCGATCGAATCATAAGCGTAATTTCGCACTTTTTTGCAGTTATACTCTAAATATCGATCTATCCAACTGATTGCGTTATTGCTCGACCGCGATGCTGCGACCAGAAAGTGAACAAAGAGAAAGGAGATTGGTAGAAAGAACTTTGCGGTGGACGGGTGATTAGTCTCGTCAGTTCGCTCGCGGTAGATCGTCGCTGGATAAAGCGCCTTCGAGTAGAGTACGAGCCGACCGATGGCGAATGCCTTGCATGTGTTGTATCGCATGGCGGATAACTAGCGTCGATGTAAGACAATGCCGTGATTATCTATCGCGCACGCCATGTACGGGGCGAGTATATACCGTAACCACCGGAGAGTATCTGCGGCTTGTCGACACGGCTTTGGCCGCCTAAGACATATGAACGTGACTCGAGGCTCTTAAATGTGCCCGTGACACGGCCCCGCGGATGTTGCTTCACCTGGATGTCGTTGCGAGTCTCGTCGCCGCGATCTAGAAAGAAGCGAGCGGAATGACGCGTACTTATTCGTAGCTTATTTAACGATGGAATGATTATGCTGATGCAAGTACGGCTGAAACTAACTAAACTCATTTATGAAGGATGAGATTTCTTTTTTTTTTAATTTTTGATTAGATTGAAAATTTGTTTCGGGTCTGTAGAGAAGAAATAAATTCTTAGAAGCTGAGTTCTATGTAGCTTATTTATTTCTAATCTTGCATCGCTTTACGCTTGAGATACCGCAATGTTAGGTGAAAGATACAGAGTGATGAAATGCACGTCAGCAACTGAATATTTGCACTTTTATTTAATACTTGACTTTATAACATTAAGATTAGATACGGTTGCAAATGTGTAGATAATCTTTTATGCTTTGAGGTATTTCGTATTTTTTGGCACGAGGAGAATTGTTTTCTCTTTCGAGACAACTGCAACGGAAGAGGTACAGTTTGCGAATTAAACAACTCCAATATATGAAGAAAGGAGCACTATCCTTCCATTTTCCCAGCTTTCTTTGTCGGTCTTTTGTTAGACCGTGAATTAGATTACGTAATCCCGTTTGTATACGAAATGACACCGCCGTCTCGTATAGCTGATGTTTAAGCAGCAAGTCTGCGCGGCCATTGTCAGCCTGTAATTGACTACGATTGGAAGATTGGATTTGGATCGTCGCAACTCCTGCAGAGTGAATAAGCGCGCTCGCGCGGATCGTTTCGGCGACGGATTCGCTCTTCCAGAATACCAGGCACTTCGTTAAGCTCAATTATCCGAAGAGAGCGGGGGTTATCGATATGAGTACCATTGAGAATCAGGAGGCGGAGATAGCAACCCCGCTGTCGAACTCGAACTTCCGCTTTGCAGTCCCTTCGAAACTTCGCTATCGAACTCGAAAACTCGGAACTTTCTCCAGCGCAACGACAGACTTCAACTTTTAATTAGTTCCGCGTTAATTAAAAATCTCTTTATCTTGAATTTTCTGTCACGAATACAAGGGATGGATATAGATTTCGTTGCGCATCTTTTATTACAATTTTTTTTTATTATACCATTCCTTATTTACTTTTACTGTACCATTCGTGTTGTATAATTTTGCGCATATTGAGAAATCTAGTTTGGCGATAATCGTGCGATCGGACACCTGAGACTGAATATCGAAGGCGCAACTTGACGATTTCGAGAAACATCAAGACCTACCGCAATTGTGTTTCATAAGGCCGTAAAACGCTGTCATTAGACGCGAGTGTAGTTGTCGGTGCTGTTTGCGGTTAGCCCTCCTTTTCTCATGTGTGTACCTCGTGTGTACTCCTTGAAGCGCCGCCACGAAGCGCGCTTGCACGTCGCCGAGTTTTTTTTTATTTTGCGTGTATGCGGTTTATTCCAGCAACGAGGATACGTTTATGTTTCCCTCCCGAACGCCTTGCGGTTTGGCCGCAAAACGTCGCCTACTTTAACGACTCTTCCACGCTCTTGTGTGTACGTCACGAGATATGTACGAGGCTGTCCGCGATTATTACAGCATATTCCGCATGAAAGGATGCGAATTAACAGAGTAACGATATATTTGCGGTTTGATTATTGTCGAGAATTTCGAGCGATAATCCGTAAGCTGGACAGCGCCCTCGTTGAATACCGCAACCTTGAGATTTTGTTCGCGTTGGGACGCAATTTGAAATTTTTTTCGCATTTTTCGTGATATAAAAATTCTTAAAATGAATATCTTGTATAAATTTAAACAACGTTAGCTCGATGAGCCGCTGTCGCTTCCTTTGTAATGACGTTAATGCGAGAGCTTAGCCGTGCTTTTGTATGCGATCTGCCGGCTTGAGCGTGGAATTTTGTCGTGTCATGCTCTGATGACGCTGGTACATCGTTTCTGTCGCGTCACAAGGAGGCTGAAGAACCGTGCACTGCATTCGTCATGAAACTAATGCGTGACCCAGTGACGACGAACGAAAATATAATGCGATCGTTAATTGAATCGTTGCAGCTCGCGAGAAATGAAGCAAATTGTCAAACTAAAAAGTGTTACTGTCAGAAATTTTATCTGATACACATGAAGAGTTCAAAATAAAGATCGCTTCTCTCCGTCATAAATGAGAGTAGAACAAAATATTCGAATTTATATTTTCTAAAGTTTCTTGTAAAACTTTTTAATAAGATTGTAACAGATAATGTTGAATAATCAATAAGCTGGAATAAATATAATCCTTTTCTCTCGCGAAGGGTCTCGCAATCGTCGCTAACGATCTTATGTCTGATGGAACGCGAGAGAGGATGAGTCCCGCAGGTTCGTTCGGCTCGTTCGAGTGTCGATTCCTTTTTCTGATAGGCGCCTCTTTCGGCTTCTTACGCGCGACTCGGCGCATTTCCATCCGACGTTGAACGCCTGCGAAAGATCGCAGGGAGCAAAAAAAAAAAGGAAGCGCTCCGCTCGCCACGATCGTCCCACCGTGGTGAATCAAGTTGTGTGTGTCGGTCATGCGGCAGGGGGTCGGTGCCCGACAGTATCGCTCCTAAAGCATCGCTTCCATAACGTCGGCACGCTACAACCCGATATCTTAAAGGAGAACCCGGTTCATCCACTCGCGGTAGAGAAAGAAAGGACGGTACGGCCCGGGTAGGTGCGACGAGGGAGAAACGCGGGTGCCATCAATAACCATTAGGTTCGCGTGCAATTATATTCACATTTGTTAGGCGTGGCGGCAAAAATAGTCGTTGCCGACGCCAAGACTGCCCTGCGACGAAATTGTCGCTCGAGAAGGAGCAACGGACGACCGTCGTCCGAAATTATCGACCGCGACATATTAATAAAATCGGATATCGGACGCGATGCGGACATCGCGTTTAGCTATCTTATCGTTTAGCGGATACGCGCGACGAGAATATCTCGAAATGAAAACTGATGGAATTCGGATAGTCACGAACGGAAGTAAAAGTTGTCGCTGTCATTCCGGATAATTCGCATCGCGCGATGAAGAGTCGCCTTCTTGGCTGGAAAATCGTGGTTGCGCATTTTAAATTATTATTACATCGATTTCTTTCACACGTCGCGTTTCGCGATATTTATATAAACTAACCCCGGCGACACCGAGGAATATCTTCAAACTTGTTTTATCGTTTATCGCCGTCTTTCTTCTACCTAATAAACGCTCGAGCCATTCCTTTCCGTCTGCCTTTCGCGGGGCTGTTCGCCGAGTTATGCGTCATCCGATAACGAACGTTCGTCCCACGAATATCAAACATCTTCTTTTGGCTCTCTCGTCCTCCTCTCACTGTCTCGCGTTTGATCTCGAATCTACCTGCGACTCGATCCTCTCTCGATCTCGACCCCTGCCCGTCCAGCGGCAGCCAACTCGAACGGACTCTTGGCCCGGCATCGAGTGGATTTTTTGGTACGCGGACGATCCTGGGAATAATGGCGGTGCATCGTTAATAAAGAATACGCCGTGGGCACGCATGCCATTGGCGCTCGCGAGGTACGGTCGCGGCATCTCGTTATTTGATATTAATAACGAGCGGGACTCGGCGGAGCGGAGAGAAGCGCGCGCGCTTCTCTATCTCCTTCTTCCCCGGTAGATTCGAATCGTTATAACGATCTCGCTCGCTACCGGTTAAAACATTCCTCGTCCTCGGTGCGCGACGAGGAGCGAGGAAAGGTATGCCGGTCCGGTAAGAGTCGGTACCTCATCGCTGAGACTCTGCCGCTGATGCTGTTGCTGCCGCCGTTGTTGGCGCGCGGTCATTTGGTACTTCTAATCACGTGCCACTCCACCCGAGTTATAAATGACTTTGCGCTTTCATCTCGTGCTCCGTCTTACCTCGTCCCGCGTCATTTGCCTCTGCTTTTTTGCCATTGTTATTATTTCGCGGCCGATCCCTTTCTCTCTTTCTCTCCCGCCCGTAAAATTGTACAGTCGATGACAAGGAAGATGAATATCCGCCGCGGGAATGAAAAAAAATTCATTCCCGCGGCGGCAAAAAGCCACGTCTCGAGTTTTCGATTCGCGCACGAGGAAGCACGTATTTATCTTAGTTCAACAATGATGACTGCACCGATAAGGATTGTAGCAGATTTACCGAAAGATAGCTAACGCGAAGAGAAAAGTGTAAATCGCATCGCGAGTTTGCCCGACTTTAAAGCCATGTGTCGGTTCAACTCCCTATGTTTCGCATTTCTGTCGCGAAGGTCTCGACGGTCCTTATCACACTCGGTCGTCTAATTATCAAGCCTGTTCTTAATTCGCGAGATAACGACCGGTACATGGCGTGACGTCTAATTGGCTCGCTGACGCACCTCGATACGCCAGCATAGTCGTTTGCATACGCACGTGTGTGAAATATTACCGACGCGACGACGTGACAGAGAGTGGTCTTCCTCGTCCATAAAGATGCTCTCTCTCTCTCTCTTTCTCGCGGTCACGGTACGCAGATGATTGTTGAGCGGACTACAGGCGACGCCGAGGATCGAGCGAGCGAGCGAGCGTTGATCCACGGACGCGTGGATCCTGGTGCGCGCGAGAGGTGCACGGGTCACATTCCACGGAGCATTATTTCCTCGCTCGCATCGAAGCGACCAACAAAAGGAGGCAGCTCCTCTCAAAAGGCACCCCCGCTGGCCCCTCCCGCTCGTACCACCGTCTTTTCTCTGCCTTCCACGCTTCTTCTACTCCTCGGACCCGCGGCGGCCCTCATTAATAGTATTCACCGGAGAAAAGATTCCTGGCTTGATCGCGTCCGAGCGCGCGTGTTATGCTCGTTCCTAGGATACATCCACCGCACTTTCACCACTCTGTCGGATTCTCTAGGTAGCATATTTAAAATTTCTAACGAACTTTGGATGATGCATGGACTTGCGGGATTAGAGTTTGTCCGCCGACTGGAGATCTAATCAA